GGAGTCCCTGTGGACTCGGCAAATGACCGGGACAAATTGCCCCTCGCCTTCGGGAATACTTATATATCTGGAGCGATCGAGTGTTCGCGTGTCCTCTCAGGTCCTGTTGCCTTCTTCCTGTGCACATCCAGTCTGTACATTCGTACAATGGTTACGAATGGCAGAGTTTTTTCGCAAAAGAAATATTCCTGCGAAGAATAAGAGTTTGAATTTAAGAATGTGCGTTCGTATTTTTAGGTTATGTTTCGTGATGCAACATTAAGTTCGTGAGTGTAACGCAGTTTTATTCGTAATGTTGAACATTCGTATTCTTTCGATACGGTTGTGAGAAATATTTTCAAAATTTTATTTTGAAATTTTAATTTTCAAGAACTATGAAAGATTATTCGGAGTGTAATATATCTATTTGTCAGGAATATCGTTAAGAAGAATTTTCTGAAATTTTATTTCGAGATGTATTCATATTCTTGTGTTTCTAAAAAAGTTAAAACAACTTATCAATCCCAATGCACTTGATCAAAAATAATTTCAAGAGTAATTCTCGAGAATATTTTTTTAATTTTAATTCTCAAAAAGTTAAAAAAAGATCAAAAGCAATTTTTGAAAATTTTAATCCACTTGTTCAAAAATACTTGAAAATTTTATTTCGATAATCTTTCGACATCCTTATGTATTTCTGCTTCTGAAAAAGTTAATGCCTTATAAATCACTCTCAAAACAGTGTTCATTTATTCAAGAATAAAGCAATTTTCGAAAATTTTATTTTTCATATTCTCTAAATTTTATAAAAATTTAATTAGTTTCAATGTAGTATTTCACTCATTCAAAAACACTCTCGAGAATAATTCTTAAAAATTTTCTCTCTTAAAATTTTACAAATACTCGCAGTTAAAAAAAGCAGTATCATCGTCGATCTCGTGCACTGTACGGTGAAACAAGTCAGGAAATATGTCCAGCCCGGCAAGGTGGACACACCTCTCGGATGCGGCAATTCCATCCCTGGTCCGGGCGTTTCTCATCCCCTACTACTCTTCTTGACGTAATAACCTGGCGTTTACCCATTGTTTATAGTCGTGGAGGATCGTAAATCGTGCGCTGGTAGTTATTGCCGGCGTGTGCGTCTTCATGAGAATTCGAATTCTGCAGCTACAGATCAGTAGAGATCGGTGTATCTAAATGGAGGATAACTGCATTGTTCTATTCTTTTCTCGATGTATATGCAAAATGTTCCAGATATTCAAGCTTAATGATGCAATTGCTGAGATGATTTCGATCAATTTTTTCCTTTGCAAAAATTTTCGGTTTAGTTAACGAGTTATTAACGAGAAACGAATTGGAGCGCGTAGACGAATGGTAGTGTTGGGTATGAGCCGCTCGCGAATCGCCAAACTTGAACAAAAAGAAAGAATAAATTTGAGAATAAAACTTTTGCAAGTTTTGTCGCGTTTTAATTACTGAAATTTAAATTTAAAATGACAGTGATTTTTGATTAATTTCAATACAGTGTTCACTTGAGATAAATAAATATTTTCGAGAGCAATAGTTTTATTTTCAAATGAGTTTTACATATAGAATATTCATAAAAATATTTGAACAAAAACAAAGAAATTTACCTAATTGTTTCAATGAATTGTGAAATCATCTAATTTTAATGAAAGTATGTATTTATGTACGTATGAGGAACATAATAAAATTATTTGTTGACGAAAAATCTATTTAAAATGAAATCCAAAAAAATCTATTTAAAATCAAATCCAAAGTCCAAAGTTTCAACATTTTTTATTTTTTAAATATAATTTTTGCCTGTAATAATTTCCTTCATAATAGTATTAAATTCTAAATATTTAAAATTATACTTCATACTTTCATTATTAACTCGAAACCAGTTCAGAAATCGTCAATTAACTTTTGTCAGTTAATTTTCAGGATACCACATAAAGCAAATATACGCAAAAGGGGAACGACGACGACGATGACAGTAACGAGTCTCTCAGGAGCTTTGCGAAAGTGTCGAAACGCTACCGCTGCCGAATCGCTGATGGTCTTTTTACATACTATCCCTATGGTGCTTCTTGGAAAAAAAACAACGATGGTTAAAAAAAACAGTGTAAAAAATCGAGAGCAGTGTGATTCACCGAAATCATATTTTTTTAAAGTTAAAATAAGATGTCGATAGAAGTTTGTAAAGAAATATTTATTCTTTAATATGTTCTAGTATTTTTAGTATTAGAAGGTTGAATGTTAGTTCTAAAAATGTATCATAAAGATTTCTTATTCTATGATGGATGATGTGTCATTAATTTTTCCAAAAAATGTGAAAGATAAAAAAGAATTTTATTTATACCATTTTTTTTTTTTTTTTGCATACATGTATGTTCATTTCACAAATGCACAATTATTTTGAATTTTATCGCATTTTTTATAACTGTTTTTACTTTTAAAATCGAAAATCAATCGTCATCTTTGATTTCTAATTCTAATTTACTAGAATTATATACATATATTAAATTCATTGAAATAAATTATTATATACATAGAATTATATACATATATTAATATATTATATACATGATATTAAATTCATTGAAATAAATGTAAAAATAGTTATTATGTTTTTATATTTTTTGATAAAACATTATATTTAACAAAGTGCAATAATCATTTATTTTTGTCGAAGATTCTAAAGAAATGTCAAATTAGCACGATATTTTATGGAAGGAACGTGATATAAGAGAACATGCGGAGAAAAAAGTGGAAGGGTCGATCGACTACAAGCTGAACCAAAGAGGATCAATGAGCTATACGCGATTCTTTACGGGTCTAATTGAGCGCAGAGATAACGCGACCGATTCCTGCTGGGTAATAACGTTTCCTCCGTTTTCTTTAATGGCCGACCTAATCGCTGCTGGTACCTCGACTATGCCTATAGATATCTCGTTTGCAAATCTATTGTGCACATAACCACATTTTTTTATCGTATAAAAAATTTATAGATGTAAGTGGAATATATTCAATCTCAAGTTTAATATGTATTCAAATAACTTAAAAATCATATTATTTCATTTTTTAATTGAAATATAAATACGTATGAATGAATATGCATGACGAGTGATGAGAATAAATATGTGAAGGAAATAGTGTGTATGCACGTGTGTGTGCATGCGCACATATTTTGATTTGTGTTGGAAAGAATCAAAACAAAGAGTATCGATGAGTAACCTAACCTAATCTAATTTAATCTTTAAAGGCACACGCACGCTTAAAAACTAAAAGTAATTCCACGAATTCTTATAGAATGGCAACAATTAATCAAACATTATAATTTTAATACAAATTCTTACAATTTTAATTTTTAAATCCTTCCTTTGTCCAAGTTTCATTATAATTGGGTAAAATCGTATCGACAAAGATATTGAGAAAGAATTCTCAAGATATAAGAAAGTGGTGTAAATGGGACAATAAGACCGAGACCCTCGATTCACCCTCGCCCGAGTCTGGCGCGTAGGGTTACGGGAAATCGGGATGCAGGATATCCTCGATCTGATTGTTCACGGATACAGCTGCTGACATTCCCCGTACACGTCCGTCGAATAGATATTATCCAAGTCTCGAGAGGATTGCCTCGAGCACGTGACCATTGCGCATCATAATAAAGCAAGTATTAACCTAGTTGTTAACCAATTGCGTTATTTATGCGGCTAAACACCACCAATTATGTACATTTGGTTTTTTAATGAACTTTTCTTTCTTTTTAATCTTCATTACGTAATTAATATTTCATATTAATAGACTTAAGACATTTATTTCTTGTCTTTACTCGTTTTTTTCTTTTAAGTATAATTTTAAATATAAAAAAATGCGACATATTTGAAATATTAGATAAAAATATTAATATTTTTTTCAATTTATAACATTATAAATAATAAATAATTTGTTAATTAATGATATTTATATAAAAATTGTAATATTTTTTGTTTAATCTACAAAAAAATAAAACAAAGTTTTTGAAACAATAATTGTTGAAATCACAGTTAAAACTTAAAAGTAAATCATTTATTTTTAAATCTATTCATTTGTATTTTAATATATACAGTATAATATAATATACAGTATAATATATAATGTAATATACAGAATGGTAATATACATTCTTTTAGACATAAACACAAAAATATTGTTGTTTCCAAAGTAAATTTCAATTATTCATAATTTATCAAATAAGCCTCGACATTTTTATTAATTTTATATTTGTTTTCTGATCTTTAGACTCTATTAAAAGTTAATGTATATATCCATTTATTAAGAAACTCAATATAACAACCAGAATATATATTTCAAAAATCTCTATTTTTTTATCAACAATAATAATGATAACATGAAATATGATACATGAATAGTAATATTTGAATCTGTATATTTTTAACACAAACTATTAAATAAATCAAGATATAATTTTCCAATTAAATTCTTTAAGAACTAATCATCAATGCTATCTGTGAATATCGCAAATCATCGTTGCCCAATCATCCATCCATTGGGGGGAATCGGGAATCAGGTCGAAGCAATTAAGTCGCAAATGCCCATTCCGCCTCGTGAGGGAGGATTTACTGCTGTTTAACCCTCTTGGCTAACTTCTTCGATAAATAAGCTATACAAGGAGGAGAGACACGCTCTCTGGCAGAGTTTGTTGTCCCAAACAGTGGCAATCTGATTGCCCGTTAGTGGAGACGAGTTAGCGCCAGTTCTGACTTTCTGACGAGTCCACTCGAGTCAAGGGAGCTGGGAAGGGAAAAGAAATATACGGAGAAACGAAAATAAAGGAAAGGAAAGAGGCGTCGAATTGAATAAGAAGAAGGAGGAACTAGTCTCGTTTCGTTGAAAGAGGGGGAAGTGCAAGCTCCTGATTAGTAGCCTTGGAAGCGAACAATCGTCATCTAATTTACCAACCGATTCGATCTCCTTTGGCTACTTTCTCCATAGCGACACTCATTCGTTTCTTCTTTTTTTTTATTCCTTCTTTATTTCTCTTGGTATTTTTTGTTTTCTTCTTGGCACGTAATCGTCTTTCGCAATTCCATTGATTATATTAATGGCTGTGAAAAAAAGCGAGAATTTGATAATTGGCACTGAAAACAATGAATAATTGGTTTTTATTTTATTATGTATCGAATAATAAATAACAAATAACGAACGTAAATTTTTTTTGAAATGAAAAAAATCTAACCTCTTCAGGAATGCACAAGACGTTAAAATAATATAAAATATTATCAGTGCTTCGAATTTTTTGTTTTTATTATATGAAAGATTTTATAATGAAGAGAATATTCTTCAATAGATTTTTAGAATTCTTCTTTCTTAGAATAATTTTAATTTAATATATACATATGTGTCAATGTATCTGAAAGATAAGAAATAAATTGAAATGATTGGTTTGAAAATAATGGTTTACAAGAAATGGAGAGGTAGATAATTAATCAATAGAGGTTGGACGATTTTTTATCGATCCCCGTTTATCTTCCAATGTTTTCGTTTTGCTTCGATTCTGCAGGGATTTGGTTCCCCAAGGTGCATTACTTAATTGCTTCCATAATGATCTTGTGTGAGGAGTGAGAAGTCGAGGGATTGTTATTTTTCTCTAACAAGAGAATATATCTTTCTCTATTAATACGCTTCAATAATTCCTTTTTTGATGTTCTGCCTTTCACAATTTTCAATTTTTATTCTGTAAAACGATTTAAAAAAAATTTTATAAACCAGAATTAGATTTAGAATTAGAAAATTTTATAAATTTTATAGAGCGAATTTATTTTAATAAATATTTCTTAATCTAAAATTTAAAAAAAATTATTAAATTAAAAATTTAAACAAATTTTCATCTATCTCTGAAAAATTTCTATATCTCAATATATTTAAATTATAAAATTCACCATCGATGAAATTTCCTTTTGTTGAACATTTCTTCTAGCTAGAAAGTGGAAGTCTTCAGTCACCAATTCACCATGTACGGATTAGGCTTGTAACGTTTCATGCGTTTCCTCGTTATACGGAACTATATAAAGAGTGGTCGATAACGCGGAAAAATAGGACGAAAAAAGCACGAAACGCGCCGATTTTCGTTCCAACTGCTCGGATTGGAAGCTGAAATATGTCTGGAGCAGTAAATCCTATCGCATCCCGTACCCCCTTTACCCCCATGCTTCGGTGAAATCGTATAACCGTACGAAGGAGGGTTGACGCGAGAAAGGGGTGGGTGGCCTTCCAGGGTGTGGAAGGCCTTAAAAGTTGTACGTCGGTCTTGAGACGGGTTTAATACGCTAGCAGTCGCATCGGGTCCAAAGTCGAGTAATTCATAAAGGAGCCAGGATATTCGATAGACTAGCTGACGGTTCCGGAAAACTGGATAAAGAGGTTATGTTTTCCTTCTTGTCGCAGTTTCTGTCACAATTTTTTTTTTCTCTTCCTTTTATACATCGACCGTCTTTAAATATATGTGGAAAGTTTTAATGGAAATATCGAGAGAATAGGTTTTGCCACTTTTTGAAATATTTGTTTGGTAAGACGTTTTGGAATACCTTTGACAAGTTTCTAAATTGACTTGCGAGTAAAATAAATTATTTATTCTTCTCAAAAAATTTAATTTTATAAAATTTTCCAACTTTTCTATCAATCATCGAATATTTATTTACTAATCCATACACTGTGTAATGTGCTATGTTAAAATTTCTAAGGAAATAAGTACGGTCTGGAATACCTTATCTCTTCCTAATATTCACGCCATGTTCTCCTCACGACAGGTTTGAACAACACTTACGCAATCTTCACTGGTAATCCATGGCCGGGTCAGTCCTCACACTTTCCATGAACTTGTTCAAGTACGTATGGCAGGTATAGTAGTTCGGACAAAAGAGCAATACGCCTCGAACGACCCTGATAGCGTATTGTCACTTGTCGGGCGCAGCGTGTATTGTCCTCGCCATGGAGGTCCACTTGATCACGATCCACCGGCACTCGAAGCTCGCTCGTGTACTAGATAAGATGTCGATTGAAATTCATGCAGTCCTCTCCCCACCCCGACTTCACCTATCGCCAGCACAAATCGCTCGTCGTATTGTTTCCGACCGAATCTCGGATCGGACCTCCGAGTGTCGACACAACTCGAACCGTGTTGCGATCAAAACGATTTGCAATTCTTCGATCGCAGCATATTATCTCACCTGGAAAGATCCAATGCAAAACTCTAAATCGATGTTTTCTAATCATTTTTTGATCGTGCTTTATTTTAGTTCATCAATAATTCGATGTTTCATTTCTAGCTTAAGTATTTTTAATTTATTTTTTATATTTTTTCATGCAATACGAGATTCTACTGATAAGTTTTTTGGACAATTTTATATCTGATTTATTGATTCCATAAATTAATGTATAATCACTGTATACGAACTTTTTCATGCAACGTGTTCTATCCACCGCCATAGTTTTACTAACCTCAATTGCGTTCCCGTGAACATTAGTTTCAATCTAGCGTTTTAAATTTGCGACTAAAGAAATTCTTTCGAATGATCGTTCAGCCTCATCCAAATTTTGCTAAACGATTCGATTTCGAGGATCGAGTTATCCAACAGACGTGGAAATGGCCCGATAACGATTTACGTCGAGACGCGCGTTTTCACGAACGATCGATCAAAAACAGAGAGAAAAAGCTGTGGTGAAAACTGAGGGAGGGACGAGGAGAGGAGAACACTCGCGTCGCGTCTTTCGAAAGAGAAAAGGAAGGAGTAACGAGAGAAGTGTCGAGAAAGAAACGATCGAAAAAAGAAAGAGAAAGAGAGGTTAGAGGGGGTGGACTTTTCTTTCTTCCACATCCCCAAGGAGTAACTAACTGAACGAGAGTCAGGATAGAGGGTGTTAAGGTAATGCCCCATTAGTATGTGGCCCCCGTAGTAGAGCCGTAACACTACCGCACAGTGGTCAAACCGTGGTTTGTCTCATCGTCGTGTGTCCCCTTGCTCGAGAAGGATGGTGTCTCTATACGCATACACAAACACAATCTTTCACTTGTACACATGTAAACGCGTGGACGTATATATGTATACGTGGACGTGCCGCGCGTATGTAACGGGCGTTCGAGAACGAGACCTGTCAATAGCCGGCTTGTTACCGCGACAATGATCGGCTTAACCAACGGGAAAGATCCACCCAGACGTACTGGATTTTCGGTACGGAAAGACCACCGGATAGCGTGTCAACATCGTTTCCCTTCGTCGCACCGCGAGACTCTATAGATGGGAGATTCTTCTCCTGATTCGAATCGTCATCTCGATGAATTTAGGAGGACTCGAGGACTCGATTTATTGCCTGGATTACGTTGGACTGAGTAATCGTAAATATTGAAAGCAGAGTTTTGGAGAAGAATATATGGAATAGCGAAAATATCGAATGGAGATTGTTTAATCGTTACTTTCAATGAGATAAGCTAGTTTTATTAGTTATCGAGTATTTTTTTAAATTATATGAAAATATTTTTTTTTGGTTTAATTACAAATTTTGATAAAAAAATTCACATTAAAATATAAAAATATTTCCTCGAATACCTAATAAGTAATTGTTATATATTATTTTTAAGTGTCAAATGAAATTATCTATAACATTCTCAAATTTACTAACAATGTTATATACCAAGAAAAAAAAAGAAATTAAGTTCTCAAATAACTTTACAAATAAAAATATTTTCTAGTAACATGATCGAGTTTGAAAAGATTAAAATACACTATATAACTTCAACGACAACGGTATTGAATTATTATCGTTGATCACAATAGATCCTATTACAAAATTAATTTTACACCGGCAATTTATTTACCTCATACAAAAACTGATAGGAACAATGTAATAGTAGATGCATACGTACTGTAAAATCACAGACGCATCATGCGATCATTATTTTCTTAGAGTTGACAGGGATTATGTTAAGTTCGCGGGTCACATGAGACGTGTGCGTGACAAATACGCAAGTTGGTTATCGTTCGGATACATCGACTACCGTGAAACCGCTGCTGCCCTCTTTCTCGCTCTCTTTCTAAGAAAGTCTCAAGAGCGCGACTTATAAAATGATACTTAAAATTAAAACTTTTGGATATTTGAAAATTCGTTGAATTATCTTATTTTTCATTTTTTTAAAAAATAGCATTATATAAACTTTTATTTTAATATTATATATTTACTATATAATTATATAATATATATATACATACTATTATATATGCTATACTATATATAATAGTATATATAATAATATATATTTATTTTAATATTATAAATCATTAGATATAATGCGAAAGAAGATTTTCCAATATATTTCTTTGAAATTTCTAACAAAAATATAATACCAATCATGATGAATTTTTCAAGAGTATAACCACTTATCTCAGTTCGGCAACAAGGATGCAAGTCACCTACCCTGTACCGTAGGAAGACGTTGATGTGAATTAATGGCAGCTTAAGTCATAGTTAGTGCCCGAGTGTTGCGTTTACAGGGGTGCCGGTAGCGCAGTATTAATTAACGCGACCCCAAAATCTCTTCTTAACCCCTGAACTCCCATCTAAACGGCACTGTATCATGTTGATGTCCCGGTAAAAGGGGAACGAGGGGTTTGTTCGTTGGATTTTCGAACGAATTCTCCATAAATATTATCTGTTTCTATTCTGATATAAATGAGCGTCTGGTATGCAATGATAGTCGATTATAAAATTCTATTAAATTCTAATAGCTTTGTTCCTAAAGATATTGTAACATTTCTTTCAATTTTTCTTTGATTATTTTTTAATTTCTCTCTTCTAAAAAAAAATCACATCGCCATATTATACATTTTATTGTTAACCTAACCTATTGTTATGTCTAACATTATTGTTAATTTATACAATATAACCTATACATATAATCTAATCTCGTTATATTTTTTCCAGTAATTGTATTATTTTAGATTTGCAAATATAACTGAATATCAATTTCAGAATTGCTGTGGAAATAAGTTTATTTTACCGACTCGCGCGATATATAATACTCGAGAAATATTATATTACGGAATCCCCTTTTACGCGTGGAAACTTTATTCCAGCGGAAAGTTTCTTTCTAAATGCCAGAGAAAATAAGTAAATCGTAGATCTTGGAATTTCCTTCGAAAAGACGAATGGGATCGTCGAGGTGGCACCGGAGATTCCCCCAGATTGGAAAGAAAATCTCAGGTAGGGAAATGGAATCGAATGGGACGCAATGTGTCGGTGGTAAAAAGTGAAATTTATAATCCGTAAAAACAATTATATATAGAGGCCATGCTAGTACGCTCGCTCCGTTGCCAATAAAAACGACCAATATCTATCGTTTGATTTATATGATCATGGTATCCGTGACCTGCCAACTGTACAAGGACCGTCGATATTAAATAGAATATTAAAGATTTAGCGAAAGACAACAACGAAAAACTTCGATCCCTTCTGTTTTATCGAAACGTTGTTTTATGTCACCGAATGCGAAAAGTCATATTCCTTGCTTTTGTATACACTACATACATGCACACGTGAATAAATGCCGATACTTATATGCCGTGAAAGATCAAGAAACGTTTGGGCGATCGCAAGGGACGAAACCAGGCCGGCCATTTCAATAAACTGACCGTCATAAATCGTACACGATACGTACTGGCGCGAACACACACGCATTTGCATGTGTCGCCAGCTAGCGTTTTTATATTCAAGCTTTACAAATTGCATTTTTATTAGAATTTTTCTATAAAACTTTTTTAGATTATTTTAGAATAATTTAATAAGTTTGTTTATAAATTATAAATACACGATTTGAAATGCAAATTAATTTAGCAGAAGTATTGAGTAAATAAGAAAAAAGAAATAATAAGTGATATTGTATATTTATTTTAAAGACGATAAAAATAATCTGAATGCATCGAATAATAATAGTTTTCTTATATTTCGCATTATTTCAAAATTTTTATTTTTATAAAATTTTGATATATCTATAATATTGGTGAAAAATCATTATTAAAGAATTTATTATTAATTTATGTAAAACTTTCAGAACTTATTCAAAACTTATTCAAAAAATTGTTGTCTATTTTCAATAGTGAAATCAAATTGATTCATCAATGAAATGCAAGTTAACCTTTTTAATATCGATTACTTCTCGAATAATAGGCATAAATTGATCATCGTTGTTAAATGTAATTTGCAATCAATTAATATATTAAATTTATCATCATATTAACATAATATCTGTTTGAACATTATTTTTAATTCAATTTTATTATATTTTATAGTCGTTAATTCATATTTGATCTAATTCATTATTATTAATTCAATATTATTGCATATTATAACTATGTTATATAGTGGAAGTTTTTCGCATTTATATAGTTAGTTTTTTTTACACCTCAAATCCCCACTCTTTTTCTTCGAACGAAGCCCCTTTGCGGTCAAGTAATAAAATTGGACTGCGGGCAGTTTCGTCCAGCCGGGGCCAACACCTTATTGCATGTAAAACATTTATGTTCTGTGGATATTGGCGAATTCCTACGTGCCACTTTCGACTCCGCGTACATCTTTCTTTCGATTCTAAGATAACGATCGCGTGTGTATCAGTTGTACGCCACGTATTTGCAAGCAGTTTCAATAATATCTGTTTCGATCTATGAGGCACTTTAATTTTCAAATATAATATATAACAGAGATTTCATCAGATGTTCGAAACATTAAATTTTATGCGTTCATTTAACTTATTTTGCCGACAGTTATTCCGATAAAATTATATGTAATTTAACGTTATATTTCTTTCACATTTCATTTATTTCACTTTCTCTCGCGTAACTAGCACATTGTGCACAGAGAGAACAATAAATTTACACAGACACGAGTCTTGGGACGTGTTACACGGAATTATAACGAACGATTTGACAGCATGGATTCCGTGCCGCGAAACGCAACGCGGACCGTCAACGTGACGTTCAACAGTTGTATCGCGCTTCGGGAAGCGCGACATTAATCACATGTCGTACGGGACGTGACGCCAAGTATATAACGGATACTGGTCGCTCCGTGACGAGTGTATTAGCCTCGTTAAGGGTGACCACGGTGTTTCTCTGATTCTTCCTTTTCTACGCTACGCAACCCTCTCGTTCATCGCTTTCGACCCTCTGGTTTACGCACCGTGACGTATTCGCATTCGTTTATATGCATGCGTGCAACATCATGCGTGCAATTGAATTTTTTTCGATGCAACGCGCATGACAATTTTAGTGTATTCAACTTGAGACAATTTATGGTTTCGATAAAAGTCGATATTATCGATTTAATATTTATAAAACTAAATCTAAAGAGATTTATTTTTAAATTTTTGATAGAATTTCGAATAGTTATATGTAAAATATATATTTAAAAAAATAATGATAAAATGTTATTATATTTTAACACGTGAATAAATTAATACACATAAGTAACAATAATTATAAGATTATGATCATGCTACACTTTTAATTGTCAAATATTCGAGTTCGAATTTACATGGTTCGATTCACTTTAGAGCCAGATCCCTCCATCTATGACAGTGCGTCGCGATACACGCTTGGGGACCATTTAAATCCCCTTTACGGTCTATTTTAAACAATTTGCTACCCTTGCAAACAGTCTTTCCCTCGGTCAATAATAAATCAAAAAAAAAAAATCGACAATACGATGGAAAATATTTTTAACCTAATACCGTTAAATTAGACTTTCTATTTCTTCGTTCGTAACAATTAATTCGATTGAATTAATCAATAGTTTAATCTGTTCTCCGATAGGTAGAGAAGAGGAAAAAAATAAACATCTTATTACGATATAAAAAAATGATACGCATATGACAAAACAATCGCATATGAAAAACATAATAATAATAATAATAATAATAATAATAATAATAATTCGACTAAATGTCCAAGTGTCAAACACGATCCAATTGAAAGATGATCCGAGCTTAACGAATATTACGACTGACGCAAACATCGCAGTCTATAAGCCAATTTCACACGCGTCGGTTACACACACACAGGATCATACAGGTGCGGGTCAAGAGGTAATGTTTTTCGTTGAAACTGATTTCGCGCTAAAACATTATGTCGAAGAATGTAACGATCAGCTGGCCTACCATACCGAGTGTCAAGTATGATCCAATTGAAGATGACCCTAGCCTACCTAGCGTCACTATTGGCATAATAGAAGCAAGTAGCCCGCAGCTAGTATCCGATACTATCCGTAGTACGCGACCACACGATGGGGCTTCGATTCTGTGGTACGAAGCGAAGGTGGTACGGTCCATCTCCCCTCCACCCCGCATTCTCCATTGTGTGGCTTCCACGCTCGACTCAATCTGCATCTACTTAACCTTATTTACCCAGCTGTAAATTCCTGAATCCATCTCGAATTAAAGGCAACGAGTAAAGTAGACTTTGGTAGACTAATAGTTGACTCGTTTTTAATCCGTTCGACTAAAAAAATGAACAATGATGCTAATCAAAGGATGAAAATTAGATAAATTTGGATTTATCGGTATAGGTTACTTTTGACTCACCATCATGCTTCGTGGTCCTACGAGGATTACCGGATTTCGATTGTGGAGGGGGAAAGAAAAAAAGAAAAGGGCTCGAAATGTATCGTTCTCGAACGTAGACTGGTCGCTCTGGACCACTAAATTTCTTTTTATGGCTCGAATCTGTGACATCATCGACACCCATAAAACGCCTTAGGCGTCTTTCTTGTCTTGAACAACTTCCTTCTTGATACGTCTCTTTCCATCCAAACATATTTTTCTTTATCTCTTTCTTTCTTTTTCCCTCTGGCATTGTTTTTCTTTCTATTCCCTTTGCCAGAAATATCGTTCTTCCTCCACTTTGTTATAAGAACTATGATTTTTCGAGATTTGACAGGAAATAAGATTATTTTGAGTAGCGTGTTGCTCGTAATGTTCTATCAAACATGGATAAGAAGAGAGGTTAAGTTAGGTTGAAATTTTACATCGTTGCAATTCAACTGAGGAATATTTATCGATACGTAGATACGGTGATACGTAAATCAAAATAGAGATTCAAATATTGGGTTAATATATTACATGTAATACGTAGATGATAGAAATTCGAATTCTTAAGAACCCATTCGATGGAAAAGCATGAGCATTATTCGAAATTCTAACCGAACTTCGTAGACGCTTAACCTCCACCAGTATTCGGATGAAATATCATAAGTTTCGAAGAAGAATCTTGTTTTGAGAACTAAGAACTGAGAATTTCTTCTAACTTTTCTCTACGTTCAATTTCGTTTGATATGTATTTCGTATTCTGATTCTTCTGTAATAATATTAATTTTTTTCTTGGACAAATAATAAACTTTTTAATTTATCAAATATTAATATCTCTTTATACTGTAAAATCACCATTAGCGTGACAAGATAACTTTATTATTTATGAATGACAATAATCTGATACTCGAACATATAAAAATTTCATTTCCCTTATTAATTAAATTGAATCCTTTGCACAGTAAGGTCACTGCTAGCGTGACAATGTTAACTTCATTATTTATGAATGATTAACTTGATACTGAAACGAACACATTTTTATTTTTTTTATTTTCTCGTATAATTAATTTAGATAAAAAATGAAATTTGATTTTCAATCTGCAAATATATAATTTTAAACGATACAAAAAATTAATTTCATTTGTAATTTATGTATAGATACTTACATGTAAATCTTCAATATTAAAGATGAATTATAAAAAAAAAAAAGAATCAAGTGAAAAACAGTTGGTCGTTTGCCAAAGAGGACCGTTTCAACTTCCCTTTCACGAGACTATGCTATCTGATACACGCTATCTTTATAGCCGTTACATATATGTAAGTTATGTACGCGAAGATCCCCCGATGCGTGCACGCATGCTTACACACGGGCATCGGATCATTTCGATATTGAATCCCATTGATATATCCCAGCCTGTTATTATTCCACCTCGTCTAACCACGGTTCCTCGTATATCTACTTTCTTTCGATTTCTTTCCATCCTCTCAGGATGCTTATAATGTTCTTCGTTTTGTCTCTCAACATAAAATACTTCAATTCTCTAATGATCCAATAGAATTGAATTCATCGATGAAAAATTATAATTCCTCTTGCAAAAAATACAATTGTACCATTTGATAAATTATAAATGTTTATAATTTAAACATGAAATAATTATTGAAATATAATATCTATTTAACCTCTTGGAATATTTACTTTTACAAATAATTGATGCGTTTCAATTTCCATTTTATAGTTATTCAGACATTACTATATGTAGCAATAAAAAATATTAGTAGTTAACTTATAATCTTAAAAAATTAAACTAAATAATATTCTTTTATATTTTTAAAGATGATCGAGTAACTTTTTAATTATATCGTTATGTTGAATTTTCTTTAAAAAACAACAACAAATTTTAAGTCAATACATCATACTGATTAATAAACTCTTATTTTTCTAAAAATATAGAAACTGACAATCACCAGAATCTTTCTTCTAATTATTTATATAGATGTAACAAAATCATTAAAAAAAAATCAATTCTATAAAAAATAAGCTTAAAATAAAATCATTGATTACAATTATATCCAATCTGCACAATTTTTTCCACTATTTATAAATTATAACAAGAATTTAAAAAATCCATACAAAAATAGTACTTCAACTAGTTAACCTAAGCATCTAACCTAAATCCAAAAATGTTATACACGCGCCGATACTGACCCCTGTTGATCGGTAACAGAATTTACGACTAGAGGAGTCCACATTGCTCCTTCCACCGATTCCATGCAAACTGCCCAGTGTCCCGTGGACTTGCACTCGATTAGCATGACAACGCCAAGTTCGAGAACTAGTTCGCCTTTGCTCCCTCGGTTGGATTTCTAAGGGTCGAACCACGAGCGAGAAAAAGGAAGGGAGAGAGGGTTGGTCGGCTGTCAGGCAGTATTTTTTATCTAGTCACGGTCAACTGGCTGATCGGCTCACCCGCCCATTATTAGCGCAGCACACAAACCTTGCTTCGGGGTCGCTGTTGCCCATTGTGAACGCTTGCCTCCTACAAGCGTGTGTGTACGTGCATGTGACTTGTCGATATAAAGAGGATGGAAAATGAGATGGAGTATGAATGGAAAGAAAGAAAGAGAAAGAGAGGAAAACTGGACTCCCATGTCTATCTACGTAAGGTTGGTAGCTTATGGACCACCTAGCCTCGAAGCAATAGCCGACCGTGTTCCTCGAAGGGTGGACACCCCCTTCCAGAGGGAAGTTTTATCTTTTTAGTATTATTGCGCGATCGCCGCACCCCCCTTCGAAAGACACAGGGAAAAGGAAAGTGATGGAGGGGAAGAAGCGATCGGTGCCGGCTGCAATCTACGAACTGCCGATTCGGACAATGGTTTGAGAACGTTCTCGTTAGCATAGGAACGACGAGTCGCATTGCTCCACATCATTCGAAACTGTGTGAAACCGCCGGAATTAGGGTGATTTCATGTATATGTTCCTGATTGGAGACTATTGGCGGATCTTGCGTTTAAAGATATGCTCGTACCTTGATCGATTAAAAACTAGATGGATAGATAAAATATAATCTAATTTGTGCATAGAATATTAAACTTATAGAAAAAATTTACTAATAATGAATATATAAATAATATATAATAGTGTCAGATAAAAAAGTAGCTTTTATAGATTGTAATATATCTAACCTAACTTATTTGGTTATAGAATATCGAACTTATCGAAAAAGATAAAATATCAGTTTATAAGTAATAATAATAATCAGTATTAATTAAAAAGATAAGTTTTGTAAATCGTAATAACTTAATCTAAATTAAATATATACATATAATATTTATTAATTTTATTAATTTTGATGAAAAAATTAATAATTAATATATAACTAATAATTATTAATAATATTATTAATTAAAAATTTATATTTCTTCTATCATGCATAGGAACTTGATCAATCGACCATCTGTATTGACAGTCGTAAGAAACTACGAACAAATGGGCTCAGACTGTGCCAAAGTTGTGTAGGACTTGACTTATGAATTCTTCTGGAGGATGGACGATGGGCAGCTGCCTATATAATAAAATAAACTGTCAGCAGCAGCTCGCATAAAAATGCTAAAAAGCTCCATGCTCCGTATAACCCCTGCGTGCATCGTCCAGATGTTCCCGCACCCTGTACCATTTGATTTCACCGTTTTACAAATTTTTGTCTTTTTTTATTTTACTATTATTGTAAATAATTTTTGTTCATCGTTAATTATCACGCTTTCTTTTTATTTATTTTTTTTTCTCATTGCGTTTTTTCATTACTAGGTACTAATCCAGAATTCCGTTGGTCAATTCTGTTATGCAAGTGTGGATACAAGACGACCACTTGGCGTCCATCGGGTTGATGAATGCACCGGAGATAGATTCCTATCTTTCTCTTCTCATTCCTGTAAATCATTGCCGGGACATTTAACCCTCGGACCGTCGGTGAAGCTTGCTAATCGAATACGTGCAAGGGATGCCCATAAACCAATTACTATTCCCAATATAATTTTCAACTTTGATTTAATATTTAAGAAACAAAGCGTGAAAAATGAAGAAAAAAAAAAAGATACTAATCAAAAATTTTCTATAGAAGAAATATTTATATTTTTTTTTATCTCTAATATTATTTAAATTTACAAATTAAAAAAAGAAAAAAATAAATATCAATCAATTCTCTTCCTTCCTTAAATATTCACATCCAAAAAATATTAAAAATTATTTCTATGAATCATCTATTCGATGAAATTCTCAGAATTTCAATGTAAAATTCCTTTTATTTTCCATTTAAAAAAATCTACATCCTCCTACGTCCTCCTTGCTACATTCTAACCTTCTCAAGCATGCATATCTACAAATTTTACGCGCGAAATGTTTGCAAATTTTACCGACGAAATATTCCCCCCCCCCCTCCTCAATGATTTACAATCTATTCTCCCCAACCTCGAACCATTCCCTCTTGTTTAAGCAACATACGATCTCGGATTCCTCGAAAAGAGTGACTTCGACGTGGCCCTATACGCGGATTAGATCGAAACGAGAGGTGTTCCATTGGCAAGAGGGTGGAGGAGGACGAAGGTGGAGAACGGCCGCGATGATAATAATAACCGGGCATTGGGGGTGTGCGAGAGTCGAAGGTTGTATCGTGAGTGGGCGGGGCCACCGATGGCAAGCGCCTCGATTCCAACGAGGAGCACCGAGGCCGACCCTACAACCGGATAGGTATTTTCCCGTGCCATAGAAACCTCATGGAGAGCGACGGCGCGAGAACCGCTACCTCCTGGTCACCACCCACACCTACAATCATCCTCTGCGGGCCAGCGTGCTCGAGCGCCTCTTCACGAGAATATGCTCTTTCCTAACTCGACCAAATTCAGTCATTTGTTTAATGATCGAATTTCGTGACGCATTACGCGCGAGAAAAGTAATGACGCCATGATGGATCGCTGATACGACACTAGCGCCGCGTTATTAATTATTGGAACTTAAACATTTAAACCGACAGAGAGCATTAATATGTGAACTTTCGTGGGTTTGAATAATTATTCAATTAATAAAAATAATGACACTAAAAAAATAATAAATCGAAGATATTAATTAATAGAACTTAATAAAGCGCTGTGTGTAAATCTATGTAACTTAAAATGTACCTAAGAAATAATATGTGAATTTTCGTAGATTGAATAATCGAACTATTTAGTGACGCGATATTTATATTATGTAGCTATTAATTATTGAAACTTATACCATTTTAAGGCGTGAATTTGCGTTTGAGTAATTGAACGGTTTTTATGGTATCGTATATTTCTATTTTCGATCAATATTTCGATATTTTAATGTTTTTTATATTTCTAGATATTTTTAGCTTTCATTTCTTTCTATGCAATTTTAAATGTACTTTTTACGTTACAATTAGATGAAAAGTACATTGAAAGTAATTTGTTATATTTTTGATATTTACCATTACTTTTCTTTCGTCTTTACATTTCGACCATTACAATTCACTTCGATTGATTCTAAAATTGATTACCTTACGATTACCAACATCATCATTTCAAAATTTACCTGAATTTTATACTGAATTTCTGATTCACGTTTTACAACGGAAAACACATTTCATCGCGCTTATGTGGGAAGAGGATACGTACAAAGCTGCGATGGGAGGATTAAAGAACGCATCGCAGGGGTGATGTTTAACAAGATCATCTGGCGCATCGCACGCATCTCCAAGGGGGTCTTAAAACCTTTAACGATATCACTCGTCAATCACGGTGATGAGTGATCGATGCCCCGCAAAGGAGAAGGAAGGAAGGAAGGAAGGAGTTGGACGGCGTAATGCCGGAAAACACGATCAAATCTGGGTTTGGCGAAACGTAGCGCGCAACAGTGGCGCTCTCTCTCTCTCTCTCTCTCTCTCTCTCTCTCTCTCTCTCTCT